GCGCAGCCCGAAGTTGCGGTAGTGCCCACGGTAAATTAGCTGTAGGTTTTTTTTTTTTTTTTTACTGTCTTACTAATTAATTTGTATCAAAACTTCGATCAAATCTCGCTGTGGTTTGGGTGAAAGTGTGACTTGCGTTGAAAAAATGTATCTATTACGTCAATTTTCAATATTTACTTACTAACTCACTTTGGTTGTGAATGATGTTTAATAATTTTCTTTAAATGTGGACAGAAGTCAGATTTTGAACAATGTAACTTAAAAAAATATATTTTTGCCACAAATTTTTGTGTTAAAGAACCTTAAATTTTTACATGAATAAACCTTAGTTCATTGATGATTTTAACAGCTTATTTGAAGGGTTAAAACTAAATCAATAAAAAAATTTGTGGTTAAAAATATTGAAAAAATTTACAAAAATCTCCTGACACTATGACTAGTTATTGTGGTAAGTATTACTCTTTGCATTTTCAGAAAATATTTCTTGTTTTATTTTTTTTTTATTTCTTGTTTTTTTTTTTTTCATATTTTATTTTATAACATTTTTTTTCATTTTTTTCTTTATTTCTTGTTTCTTGGACTTTTTCAATGAATTAAATACTCAGAATTCCGAAACACCACTTATTCGATTTTTAACTACGAATCGTGAATTTTTTTCTGGTGATGTCTAGACCTCTAATAACTTCCTTTCCAAAGAAAAGCCAACACCTGGCCAGCTTATCGAATAAAGTAATTATTGATTTTACGAAGGTCAATACAACAAATCAGATGGTAAATAGTACCCAGTAGGATTTATGGCCGAGTCATCTGAGCGGAACTTTGCAAGGGGCTGCACAAAAGACACGTATACTTGGCTCTGGATATTTTTTTCTCAAAGTTTTAATAAAAGCCTTCCGAACTTTTTTTTTTGGCTATGGCATCTAGGTCATGAACCTATAAAGTCACTTTCTGTTGCCTGTTGCCACCGTTCCTTATCCAGTTACTGGCTTTTTAATTTGCTGTGACGATGCAACTACATTCTTTGCTTGTTTGGCTCTAATGAGTATGTTTTTTTATTTTGTATTGACAGCACTTTAGACCGTAACATTAGCCTTGTGAGGAACGAAATTTTTCTTCACTGACTTAATCACACTGGCGAAGGTCTGCCCTTTAGCCGCCTTCACGAGTATTTTAGTTATTATGTCTATTTTATTGCTTAGGTCATTCTTGGTTTTTGGAAGAACCTCTACCAGTTAGCTACTACTTGTTCTTTTATTTATAGAGGACGCGGTTTACTGTTTTTTTATTTCGGGGCTTTCTGATGGACTTTTGTCTCTCTTAACTCGTTCTACTTCTCTGAGATCGCAGTTCAGAGTCTTTCTCTGAATTTGCTGATGGAATTAGTCTCTTTTTTTTATGTACTGCAGTGAAGCAAAACTTTTTTCAGTGCCTAATGTGCCTATCTTTGTCTCGATCTTCATGTCTTAAGCGTTCTGCTGCTATAAGACGGTCAGCCTTAAGGCCATCCTCAATAACCGTGGCTGTGTTATGAAACTGCGGTTGAAGGCCTCAAGCGTTTTCTCCATCTCATTGGCTAACTCAACATTATCTATTTCTTTTGATCTCTTTGCTTTTCTGTGCGTTTTTTTTATCGCTTGTAATGCTCAGTCTTCGTTCTTTATCAGTAAAGGGCCATGAAATGTTAAATAGTCCCTGCTGACCATAAATAGCATTTTTTGTGTTGACCCCCCCCCCCCCATAATCCGTGAGACCTTTAGCAGACACTCGAGCTTTTTATTGTATTATCTTCTTCGTTTCGTGCTAATCGGTTAAGGTTAGAACTAACCTTTTTTCTCGAAAATAAGCGTCTGTAAACGGTTAAAACCTGCAAAACAGCCCTTTTCGTTACCAGAGAAAGGGGCTATTCGCTCAGGCTGGCTGGGAGTCGCTAGTCTTCCTCAGTCCCACTATTAGAGACTGTACTGTCATTGTCTACGAAGTGTAAAAATTAAGATTTTTTGCAGTGAATGCTTATGTAGGCTTACTACAAGTGCCCTAGAGAAACGAGAAACAGGCATACAAAGCCATAATTTGAGCAGAGAATCTGATACTTTTTTTTTCAAGTCATTGTCTAGTTGGTTTTCATTACAGTATCCATCTGATATTTTTTAGCCCTTATTTTACAGTTAAAGATGCCACCGTATCACCTGCAAACATGAAGCTAAAAATTTTTACCTATCCTACCACTGTTGCTCCTTTAACGACTTTCCTATTCCATTCAAGAGAAATAGCAGCGTCACGGGCTCTTATAAAATCTTATTATTAACGAGATAGTGGTGCTGTCTATCAAAATGAGACTTTGGTCTTACATCTATATTATGTACTTATCATTAGAATCTGTGCAAGTCACTTTCGAATAAATCTAATGCCAATTTAGCCTCTTTTTTGGATCTAAAAATAAAGAAATACTTTTTCATGACCTAAATTTAAATATACCTTCAGTAGTAAACATCCCTTGATTATTTATTAAAGTCTTTAGATATCTTCTTAGAGACGTTGTAATCGACTGGTAAACAAAAAAGACTGTTTTTGTTAGAATGACCCATATGGGTAATTCTTTTACAAATCTAACGGATTTTGACCTTCACCTCTCTCTCTCTGATTCAACTGAAAATTTTTTTCCAGTTTTTATATTCAAAAATAAGAGATACAAGTCTGAGGAATTTTTTTTTATCGCCTATTTTCAATTTTATAAGTTATAACAAATTTCATAATAGTGGTTGGAGACTCAATTTTAACAGTGTATAGCTCCGAATCCTTAAGAGCTACAAAATTTTCACC